AAGAGGAAGAAGAAGAAGAAGAAGAAGGAGAAGAAGAAGAAGAAGAAGAAGAAGAAGAAGAAGAAGAAGAAGAAGAAGAAGAAGAAGAAGAAGAAGGAGGAGGAGGAGGAGGAGGAGGAGGAGAAGAAGGAGAAGAAGAAGAAGAAGAAGAAGAAGAAGAAGAAGAAGAAGAAGAAGAAGAAGAAGAAGAAGAAGAAGGAGGAATAGTAGCAGGTGTTATAAAATCTGACTTTGGGCATTTTGGGGGCGTTTGTTTTCCTCACTCATCAGGAAAAACTAATGTCCCTGGCATTGTACCTGTATCTAGTTACTGCACAAACAAAAGAATAGAAGGAGGCATGTCTGTAGCAAATGTGGGATTTTAGAGGACATGTGACCTTTTATTTCTTGTGTAAATGATATCCAGCTCATTGGTGGACTAGAGTGCTCTGATCATCTCAGATTTCACAAAAGAATTCCTTTTCGTGTAGGCTTTTTAGTCAGTAAGGTTACAGGCAAGACTGTTTGAACTTCACTTTTAACATGAAATTATTAACTTAACTCCAGCTCAGGGAATGATAATTAATATGAATCTACGTCAAATTAAAAAATCTCTCTCTAAACATGGATAGAATGCACCAGGGAGGAAATAAGCCAAGTCTCCAGATGTCTGTTCAACTTCAGACGACGGTGGGTCTAATTATTGCAACCTCAGCCAAGAGAGTTTGCTCTGATAGTGAGAACTATGTTCACCAGCTAATTTAAGTTCACAAGGCACCAATTAAAACGAAAGGAAGTATAAATTAAGAGCTTTGAGTAAATATAGATTGAAGTCCTTCCTCTCAGGAAAAACACACACTGTTTTGTTGAGCAAACAAAAAATGAATCACATGATCAAAAGAATATTACCACACAGAGCACATCGTCACCTTTCACAAATGGTTCCTATCATTTCTCCTCAGTGCGGATGGGTGGTTGTGTTGACTGGGACCTCGTAGTTTATTTTGTGACACTAGGATTAACAGACCACATCTGTGATTTGGTTTGGCCATTTCTTGATATGCAGAGGGAAGTTGACATGCTGAAGTGAATCTCCGCTTCAAAATGTCACTTGGGGAATAGAAATATCACCTGGGCAGCGTGCCTCACTTAAAGTGTCCAACGACGACTGGTGTAAATCCATCTTTAAACATGGAGAGGAAGTTAAGCCCAAGGATTTAGTGGTCCAGACAAGGGAAGACAGATGGTGACTGGTTTTCTAGCGCAGTGCACAGAAGTAGCCAAAAACACACCTCGAAAGTCAGTAACAGCAAAGGCGATGCATGTATGAATTGCACCTCTAAAACAGATTCCTCAGAAATTGATGTGGCGGTCAAATTTTAGAAACCAAGATGATCTCCCCCCCACCCCTGCCCTGTTTGGGTTGGTGACAAAATATTTAGGATGATTGGACCTAGATGTTTTTGTTTTCCAAATTATAAACATGCCATATCTTTTTTCCTTTATCAAAAATGTTGCTTTGATTGGATTAATATTTCCTTTTAATGATCATTTGTTAAAATGCCACAGTAATGTTTAATAGTCAACAACTCCCAGATTTGATATTGAAACCCAGCAGTCAAATTTTTCTAATTACTTGTATATTGTCACAGAGGAGTTATTAATTATTTATATAAAATGTCCAAATTTATGAGGCGATACTGTCATGCTCTAGCCCTTTTGGTGATGAAAATGAAACTCTTCAATTCTGAGCCCCGAACACTTGTCTAATCAAGCCAATGGGGTTAGCGGTCATTGATACTGTCACTGGGAGGGCCTGACAATTAATGATGTGATATAGCTTATTTTCTGATTACAGAAATAAAAGCATATAAACAGCACCCAGCACACCAAAACACATTTACAGCCACTCAACAAAATATGCTTAGGAGCATTAATATACAGCCGTTTCACAAAATGCACTTATATGCATCAAACAAATAACATGCCAGCGTAGCATGTTTGTTCTGAAACATGCAGCTATGTTAGGATAAAGAATCATAAGCATATATGACATTTGGGCATCGATGGTATTTCAGTTATCACATATTTATGAACATATGTACTTCCTGGTTTTTAAAAAACCTAGTACAATATAAACATTGATTTTTGAAGAAAGTAATAGCATCATGAAAGGACCAAAACCAAGGAAATGTATTTTTGGTAATTATTACTTTGGTCTGAAAAAGTAAATGTGTTCTGCGAGTTTATTTTTCTGAGGCTTTAGCATCTCATACAAAACGGGTTTGTGATGATGTGGAAATACAAACAAAGCATGGAGAAATTTGAGGATGCTTTCATTGACAAGACGACAGATTTGCTCACTGACTTGGATATGTAAGGACTCAGGTGTCTCATGTTTGAAAACAGTTTTGTCCTTCTGTTAATGAAAGTCCACTATTTGAAGAAGGGAATTCTGCAGTGATTATGAAAACATAATGATTTCTTGAAACAACACTAAACTTTGGGGGACATTTTTATTCATGTTAGGCCTCGGCACAGCATACATGTGTTTATACAAGGAATTGGAATATACTTTTGTACATTACAATTTTTTTCTAGGCATAAAAGAAAAAAACCATAAAAATTCCAACATGTAGAATTCCTGCACATAAAATCTTTCACATCATGTGAAAGAGCATCATGTCAGGAATCTAAGGCTTTCAGAGACTATGCATTGAAAAACACTCATAAAATATTGAAGCAAAGAGAAACGTAAACCAGCATTTCCTGAACTCTATTTTAAGATAAAAAGAGAAAACTCTTCCTGCCAAATTCATGTCTCTAAATGGAGCATATCATAATGTGGACCTTTTCACATCATTTTAATTGAATTTTGAGAAGCCTCTCAGTCCTCCAAACTTGGATTAAAAGTTTGGTTCGTGAACCATATAACATATAACAGAATTTAATATAATGCATTCCAGAGTTTTCAAGGAATTACAATGCAGTAATTCCTTTTCTTCTGTTCCAACACACAGTGTTGGAGTTCTTGTTCCTTTTCTCTACTTACACCTATAAAAATATACAAACTGAGAAAAATTGACCTTTCTGTGCCCTTCAATTTTAGTATAGCCCCACTTTACGTTAGCTGATGCTAAAGTTCCAAACCCTTGTCTTGCTGTGCTGACTCTGAAAATTGGCTAAGGGAGTGTATTTGTATAATGCCTGTTTCAATGGATCATCCCATTGGAATTTTGTAATAGTTAGATAAAGGTTCCACTTAAAACTCAGTTTTCCTATGTAGCCTTTTTCATCTGGAAGTGAAGACTTGGGATTTCATTCTTGGGTTTCATTTACAGATTGTAAGATTCTGTATTTTTGAAAGTCTTCTACTTTATTTGCAATTGGGAAAGTTGTAAGTGGATACCGAGCTAGACTATTTTAACTTTTCCTCAGAATTTCTATAACTTGTTTTTTCTTTGAAAACAGTAGGAGGTATAGGGCAGGTTCCAGTGAAAGGTGTGTGTGTGTGTGTGTGTGTGTGTGTGTGTGTGTGTGTGTGAGAGAGAGAGAGAGAGAGAGAGAGAGAGAGAGAGAGAGAGAGATGCATGTAGTGGCTAGAGGTCAGGGATGCTGCTATACCTTACAATCTGAAGGTTGGACCTCCCCACATAGAATGACCTGGCCCCAAATGTCAATAGTGCCCAGGGTGAGAAACCCTCATCTATGAGAAGAATTTACTGTTTATCACTCTATTAATTTGCTAGTACTGCCATAACAAGGAATGACAAACTAGGTGGCTTAAATGACAGAAATTTATTGTCTCAGTTCTGGAGGCCAGAAGTCCAAAATCAAGGTGTCAGCAGAGCTGATTCCTTCTGAGGACGGTAAGGGAAGGATCTGTCCCAGTCCTTGGGTGGTAGGTGGCTGTCTTCTCCCTGTGTGCTTGTCTTTGTGTTCAAATTTGCCCCCTTTTTATAAGGACACCAGTGATTTGAGGCTAAGGGCCCACTCTACTCTAGTATAACCTCATCATAACTCATTACATCAGCAATGATGCTATTCCTAAATAAGGTCACATTCTGAAGGACTGGGGGCTAGTACTTCAACATATGAGTTTTGAAGGACACAATTCAACCTATAACAATCACGTCCTCCAGTGTATACCTAGTTATCTAGTCAATTGAACATATGCCATGTCTCTATTAACAATGTAATCACCTTCAGTTAGGCAGAGACCTTTGGCTCACACAGCTCCATCACTCACATAAGGCTAACCACACAGGGTCATGTAGATTCTTAATCCTCAATAAATACTTGTCAGCTGCTTCATTGATAGTCAGCTATTAACCCTACATGAATTTTGATAAACAAGATCTCAAATAATTGTAGAACAATTTATATTTGCTTCGTGTTAATATGTGATGGACACTATTATACCTATTATTTCATTTCTTCTCCCATCACCATGCCTGGCATATAGGTTCTTTTGAGAGATCATGAAAACGTAAGTTAATATCTGCTTAATAAGTGAAGGCAATATGAACAGACACAGGCCCTAGTCCCTCCTTTGTGGAGCTCATAGTCTAATAGAGACTTCCAATAGGTAAATATTTTCCCTGTTGGTCTGGAGGGAGGCACACTGTGCCCAAAGTA